TCTCTCTCTCTCTCTCTCTCTCTCTCTCTCTCTCTCTCTCTCTCTCCTAATTCTGTTACATACTAGTTCTGGGCTCTTGGAAGGTCCTTGACCTATCTGAATTTGTTTCCTCATCTGCATCACTGAGGGTAATAAGACTTTATGGGGTCATTGTGTGGGTCAAATAAAATGATATTCTCTATATAAAAAGGCTTATTATACAGCCTTTGCACATAGAAGATTCTCTATAAAGAATATACTCTCACAGTGACTATGGGAGGCCATATGAAGAGGCTAGAATAAACCGATGTCATAAAGGACACTATTTAAATTCAGTTTCTCCTACATAACTCAAGACATCATTAAACAAATGATGTTTATATTTTTCTGCTTTCTCAGCTCTGTGACTAATATTGACAAGGTTCTACCATGTATTAGCGTTTGTCTATGTAAGTAAGTATAAATAGAAAAATAATCATAAGAATAGCTTCAAACAGTAAGAAGACAAAGATTGTATTGAGCGACAAGCAAAACATTATCAAGTTGCACTGGCCCTTTCCAATCCAAAGAAAGGATTAGATAGAAAAGGTTCCAAATTGCAATGTTTGCTAAGAATTGCATTAGCCGATCAGTTTTGGAAGAAATCACCAGTAAATACACCAATCAAAAAGTATTCTGGAGATGAAATCTTTTGCTTTTTAATATCCAGACAACTTTCGGGAATGTCACATCTAAAGGTCTGTTCTGAATGGAAAAGGCCAGTTCAAGTTAAGAGATAGGGAGAGGGCTTCTTTTGAGAAATTATTCTGTAAAGCCTACCTTTTGCCAACAGCCAGGCATGGGTAAGCCATCTGGCCCCTGTTTTAAAGAGAAAAAGGAGAATTCCTCAGGTTCCACAAGAGTGATTAAACTCCATTTTTCACATGCTCAGAGGCTTAAACATAAATTTCTACCCATTAGTGGCTTCTATCATGGGCATCTTTTACTAATTAGCAACTCCCAATACATTATTCCATTGTTAGGTAAAAATAAAGAAAATTCAAATGTTTTTCAGAGTGAGCACACATTTTGAAAACATATGAAGCATAGAAAATGTTATGCCTAATTTTGAAAAAGCAATTTACAAAGTATATCTATATTTTTAGATAATAAATCTATACTCTTAATTTCATTAAAGCACATCTCACTGTTACCTCTATTAAGTAAACCAAAATAACTTCTCTTCCTGGTCACTATTAGACTATGGCTGAATTCATGATAATGATGAATAATCAATGACAAACCATTTCTATCTGAAGTGTATAGCTCTTCACATTAAATATAATAAACATACTCAATTGAGTTAAAAGACAGGCAGCCTATCTGTAGACTTATGATAAAATGTTATCTATAGCATTCATCAATTTCTCTATTTAAATGCTTCAGAAGTCAGTTAACAAATTCTGAATAAGAGGTTCCTAAGTGTTGCAAAATTTATTTTAAAGTGTATGCATTCTTCAGATACAAATGATACAAGTAAGGCAGGAAGAGCTGGGGTATCAAGAAGGCATGCTTCTACTTTTTCCCCAACAAAATGATCATAAAATATGATTTATCATCAATACCAAGCAAATAAAATAAAGAACTGGGAACTTTGTATTGAGATTTTCTAACTATAATTATTGACTGCTTAATTTTTTTAAATATAAATATCTCTTAAAAGAGAAATATAAATTTATCTTTAAAGAATCATGCTTATAACTGAAGAATAATATAAGAACATGCAGACCAGGATAACCATCAATGCAAACATCAAACTTTTTATTTATACCTCAGAAAATATGACTATACTTTCATTTTAAATGTTAAAAAAAAAAACACTTTAAAAAAAGCTTCATAAAATATTTGGGAAAAACTGGTAATGCCAGATTGGTACAAGGAAAGGGTTCAACCAGCAGAATTTTAGATTTTAGTATCAAGAGGATTTTGAGTTCATGCCAATGGAGATAAGGGAGTTTGGTCTACTTGAGGAAAGTGAGTTTCAAAAGGAGAGACCATTAAATTGAAAAGGTTACGTGACAAAGCAGAGGGTTTGGGATGCAGACTATTATCTTTAGAAGCTCAGAGAAGTTTGGTCTTCTTCTCTATGGTCTCTTAAAGCACTCTCTTGAATTGGTTAACGCTTGACCAGAGAAGCTGAATTCCCATAGGTTGGGCCTTATTTACAGTCTGATAGAAATTTACTGATACCTTTATTTCTTTTAGAGAAAAAGAAAAAAAGTCAAACTTAGGTGGAAAACCAAAGATGGCCTAGCAGTGCCTTTACATCAAATATTTTCATGTAATTGTAAATGCAATCTTTTAATATTTATTGAAAAAACTAACATTCCAAAGAACACAGAAAAGGTGGTCATGTCAGTTGTGAGAACAACATCAGGAGATTAATTTGCATTCATTGATAGAAACTCGTGCTTGCTCTCTTCCTCTGCAGAGTAGCAGAAGGATCCTGTTCATGCACATGCATGTAGTGTGCGTGTCATGTAAAGCTTGCCCAGACAGCACCACTTTACACTGATAGAGATGAACATGTAATAAACAAAGGAACTGCATGCAGGGTGGTAGGAAAGAGAAATACTGTACCAATTGGCAAGGGGCATCGAGCCCATCCAGGCCAGGCTGGCCTGGCTCCCCTTTTTCCCCCTTAACGCCACGGAATCCCTGTTTGTAAAGATTAACTCATAATGTTACTAACACAAGAAATCACTTAAGCACAAATTCTGTGAAAGAAGTAACTACGACAACAAAAGGCTGGGAGAGGAGCAACTCTGAAGGTAAAAGTAACATCCAGGAAAGATGGACAAAGTAAAATGGAGGAACACATATTCCTACAACGGGGCCTTGTTGGAAAACAGTGTTTTTGAGGCGTGTGGAATAGTGCCAGCTCCTTTCGGATCTTACATTCAGGTTCCAGTTGCACCATAATATTTGGGGGTTAAGAAACCAGGCAGAGCTAGTGGCCAGAGATGAGATGTGGAACATATCAGGATAACTGTGATAAATGTTTCTGGGTGTCTTGAAGTCCGTCTTAAAGGACCCCAATCAGAAACCCTCCTGTTACGGATGCCTCCAGCTTGCTCTTCTCCCATCTGATCCCCTCACACAAACATCCGGAGACAGTTCCACAGGTCAGACATACCAATGGGCAGGGTGCATCTAATCCAGGAGCACCCTGTTCTCCTTTCTCCCCTTTAGGCCCCTTTTTGCCTTTCTTTCCCTTTTCCCCCTGTGGATACAAGGGTTTAAATAAAAGAAAATTTTATTTGGGGGGTGGAAATAATGGTAATTCAAAAGATGGTTTAGGTAAGAAAATTCTGGAAGGGCATTTACCATTGTTTTCGGATTTAGGTAAGGCATGACATTATACAAGCTAACTTACACTTTCAGAGTGACAGTGGATTCTGGGCAGCGGTATGTGGGATTTTATTTAAGATAACAAGACAGAAGAAGGAGACTTAAAAGCTGATACATCAGAAGTGCTAACTTAGTGCTAACTTAGACCACAATGTCACAGTCATGAATTAGGTGTCTAAATCACAGATCTTATGAGGATGACAGGTACAAAAAGTATTGAAGTCAGCCAGTGTCAGATGAAGTTCAGGGAAATAATGGATACTTCACTCATTTTCAATACCAATTGCTTTTTTCCTAATCCTGTAACAGATGAAAGCTGCATTGAATCAGAGGAAAAGGAAAGAATATTAACTGTGTATTTCTTTGAAATGTATCCAACTTTATGATTGATATTAATTCTATAACTCTCATTCAAAATATTCAATGTCTTAAAATACGCTTCTATTTCTTTTAACATTTTTTACATCCTTTTGTTACAGCAAAACATTTTTTCAAAAGAAACTAAAAGCAAATACTTTTCTTATTAAATCAGGTAAACAAATGTTAACGTGCTGATACTTTGTAGCAATGACAACTGGAGAAACAGACTTATTTATAAACCTAGGGATCTTCTTTAAGTCACTCTCTTACTGATCTCATGCCATGTATTTACAATGGTAAATGAGTTTCCAGCTTACTCACAATGTAACAAATGCAAAAAAAAAAAATCTATTCAGGAGAGGAAAAGCAGCTTGGACTCAATAAAAATGAGGTAGGCAGGATAATTACATAGTGGGAATGTAGCCATGGAAATTAGTATTTAGGAATCAAGGTAAAGGTTGTGGGAAATCTACATGGATCATAGGACCAGAGGAATTAAGGAAAGGAGGCAAAAGGAGGAGAAGGAAGGAATGCACCTCAGCTGTTTTATATTAACATCAGTATCTCTGCATATTTATAGACAGGGAGTTGGTGCCGTGCAGAATTTGAAATCCTGTACAATACACACTTAAATAAATGTATTCATTCTGCAATCAGGATGTGAGTTACAATAAAACTGAATCTCTGAAGCAAAGCAACATGAATATTGAAAGGTGAAAAGATATATACATAACAGAAATATACAAGATATGCATTCAAATTAATACATTCATTCTGACAGCATGAGCAAAAGCTCCTCATTTATCTCCTGTGTGCCAAAAAGATTGCATCAGAAGACTCAGAATCAAAAACACTTGAATTTCTTGAATAAAGGGCAAAGAGACATTCTGTGTGGCTTAGTTGATCATGATAAAAGACAATGATGACCCCAGATGCCAGGGTGAAATAAGAGCAGTTGTGATAGGAAGTAAGATGGGAGGAGCATTCAGGAGTAAGTTGCTCACTCACACAAGATGGATAACATCCTTCCTTAATAAATCACTTCAGTACCATGACATAAAACTGATGTAAACTCGTGTGGGTGAGCTTTTCCTTCCCAGAAAGCAGTGGATCTTCTTCACATAGATGTGTTTGAGACCAGCTGTGTTGGGTATTATTACTTTAGAATTCAATTCATTATTTGGTAAATCAACTCAGATTAACCACTCAACAGAAAAATGTCTTATGAATATTACTGTGCCAGGCTATAGGAATCATTTTTCAGTAATATTTTAGTGAGTCTCAAGCTTTATGGAAAAGAAACACTACAGTATGAAGAATAACGTGCCAATCTTAATCAGCATTGTTGTGGCATATGCACTGATTCCCCATGCAATACAAAACCATCTGTCATTGTGGGTATGAGTACACGAGAACTTTTGATAACTTTTATTTGCCATGTTAAAGACTTATATACATGAATTATTCTCATTTAGAATCTAATTTTTGTAAATTTAAAACTTGTAATCATGGAAGCTGAACATGGAAATACTTTTGTATGGGTGATTAACATTATTCTGAGGATCAAGTTTCTAGCTTTTATGCTTTCATATGCTGTAATGTTGGTAATTTCTTTCTCATAAACATGAGTATCCTCCTAACATATATATATATATATATATATATATATATATATATATATATATATAATTTATTTATTTTTGAGATGGAGTCTCACTCTTGTTGCCCAGGCTGGAGTGCAATGGTGTGCAATCTCGGCTCATTGCAACCTCCATCTCCTGAGTTCAAGCGATTCTCCTGTCTCAGCCTCCCAAGTAGCAGGGATAACAGGTGCCTGCCACCACGCCCGGCTAATTTTTGTATTTTTAGTAGAGATAGGGTTTTCCATGTTGGCCAGGTTGGTCTCAAACTCTTGAACTCAGGTGATCCACCTGCCTGAGCCTCCCAAAGTGCTGGGATTACAGGTATAAGCCACCATGCCCAGTGGTAATATGTTTTTGACTGATTAAGATTTTAGGCTCATACAACCCATTAGGTAAATATAAAATGTGTGTGTGTGTGTGTGTGTGTATGATGATTTTAAGTTTTTTCAGAGACAGAGTCTTGTTCTGTCACCCAGACTGGAGTACAGTGGTGTGTGCATAGCTCACTGCAGCCTCAAACTCCTGTGTTCAAGTGATCATCTCACCTCAGCCTCTAGAGTAGCTGGGACTACAGGTACACACCATCATGCCCCATCGATTTTTTTCATTTTTTAGTAGAGATGGGGGTCTTGCTATGTTGCCCAGGCTGGTGTTGAACTCTGGGTCTTAAGCATTCCTCCCACCCTGGACTCTCAAAGCCCTGGGATTACAGGCATGAGCCACTGCACCCAGCCACATATCATCTTTAAAATACACTCATCTTGGGCTGAAAACTTATATGCACAATTTATCTCAAAACATAATTGATAGTCAGAATTTATAATTCAGAATAAAAGAACTTTTTATACCTTGGTTTCCTTATTTGTGAAAAGGGGAAAATAATGCCAACTTCAGGTACTAAAACTGTTGAAGCCAGCCATTAATTTTAATCCTTTTAATGAGGATTAAAAGACTTATCATATGTAAAGCTCCTGGGAAAGCACATATGAACAGTAAATGTGATGATCCTGGTGATGATGATGGGGCTTTCAGATAACCACTTACATGGGCTCTCTTACCAATGGGTTGGGGAGGGTCTAAGCAATGCTTAAAGGCCTAAAACTTATACCGCAAGCTTAATCTTTTGACAACTCTCATTTAGCCTTGTCAACAGTTATGAATGTCACTGTTCAAGAAACCTTATAAAGTTTTAAAAACTGTTAGAGCAGGGACATAAATTAACCTGAGAAATAGAACAGGTTTATATTTGTACTGTGAAACATAGTTTCAGTCACTTTAAGATTTTCACTATTCTATTGAGGGATTGAGTTTTTGATGGCTTCTTTTGCTGTGTCCAGTGTAAAAAATTCTCCTTAGATCTGCTACCAAGTAAAAGATGCAAGCAAAATACTGCGAAAGGAGTGGGGGGGGGGGGGGGGGGGGGGAAGAAAGGGAGGGAGGAAGGGAGAGGAAAGGAGGGAAGGGAGGAGAGAAGAACAAAGGAGAAGAGAGGAATGAATGACTTTTAAAATCCATAATCCAAACTTCTCTTTCAAATCACAAAACCATATTGCTTGATATTGGCTCCTAAAGACCATGGAGCTGACGGTTCTGAGACAGGACTTCAACATCAACCTCATAAAATACACTAATACCTCCATTTAAAAAATCCCTGTTGCTCTGAATCTAAAGTGGCAAGTTCTAGTCCTGTGTGATGAATTTACTGTAGTTTATCAGTCACAGTGCTTCTCCTCCATTTTCAAATAAAAAATATCAAGGTACAAAGCATATCTCCATTTCTCTACCAGGAAGTAGTGAAGATAAGTGAGATGCTGACTCTGCAGGCTTCAGTGAGCTCTGCCAAATACCATTGCAGATTTGTACCATTTAATTTTACTTTTTAAAAGAATTTTTTTTCAAAAATCCTTTATTTTTCAATTAGTGTCTGATGGTTGAAAACCTGTAGCTTGAATATCTGGGGATAATGTTTTTTCTTCTATGCCAGGCAGTGCCCTTTTATCTGGCAGTACAGCCTTCTTCATTCGTCTCTGAAGACCTGATTCCTTAAATCAGGCATCAGCATGTTTTTGGAGCACAGGATGGAGAAAGATTAAGTGTCAAATGGAATCACACAAGCTGAACAGCAAAGCAGACAGCAGGAGAAGAATCAAACAAGGCACATGCTGGGATGGAGAGGTCACCTTTTCTCCCTTTTCTCCTAGGTCACCCTTCTCACCCCGTGGACCAGGGAAGCCCTGTAAGATAAAAAGCAAACCAAAAAGATCTATTGGTGTAATGGTGGAAAAATCATATAGAAACAAATATTTTAGGATTTTAACATTTCTGAACTTAAATATAACACAAAAGGGCACGCCAGTCATAATATTTAGATAATAAGGTGGTGCTAAGAAGTTTTCTAATGTCTCCATTATCTAGACACAACAGGTTTCTTGCTTTTCTTTTAAGAAATACAGAGAGGAAAGAATACCAGGATATTCTTTTGAGTTCTGGCAAGTTCACTGATTTGTGCGGATTTGGGCAAATCACTTACCACTCTGCACTTGACTCCCTTGACTGTAAAATGAGGTTAATGATAATTACTAGGCAGCTGTTGTGAATGTGAAATGTGATGATATACTACAAAGTACCAGAATGATGCCTGCCCATAACAGGTGCTCATAAATGGTAACTAGTATTACTTTTGGTATTCTCATTATTTATGTAATACAGGATGAGCAGTGATTGTTTCTAGAGGCATTTACTTTTGACATTCTCTATTTTCATGGGATCATGTTAGCATAAGATATATAGAGACTAAATGCTAAAAGGAAAAAACATTGCATAACTGCTTTGAGAAAAAAACATACACCATTCCCTAAGGACAGCATATGAGGGGGATATTGAGTTGATGCATATTTTTCATAAATAGGTCATGCTGATGTTAAGAGTACCCTCAATCTGGGAAAGTATTTTGAACTGCCACTATCTACTACCAGTTACTAATTTTATACAAGATAATTGTGGTTTTTTGCTTTTCTGTTTATCTCACGTAAACACTAGTGTATTTTATATTGCTGTTTACATGCACGGCAATATATGTTCTATGCATACCTATATGCACAGAAAAAATAAGTATTCTTTCTGTTATTGATGATGGAGACCACCAACATCTATTATAATAGGATGATTTTTATTGTACTTATTACTTACATCAAGACCAGGCTCTCCATCTTTCCCCTGCCAAAGAACCATAGTAGCTACATTAGCGTTGCTAAGTTTTATGAATAGGTTATCGCTTGATTTAAGGCTGTCTGAACATGCAACACTAGTACTAGGATGACTACTTCAGAAATGTGAGAAAGATTCTCTATGGATTAGTGACTGTTAGTGTTGCAACTAAGGGTCATAAGAATTTTATATATTGGGTTAAATAGTCTAATATTTTGCTGATGTTTAAGGGTTGGTAACTAAGTTATTAGTCCAGGAGTTAAGTTAAAAGCAAAAATACTGTTTAGTTGATTTAAAAACACACCAGCACTAATAGGGGATGTGAATCAATGCTACAATAATAAAAAGAATATAAAAACTGTTTCCTGTTAAATACAGTTTTAATTTGGCTGGATGTGCACACTGTGTATGAAGGGTTTGAAGGTTGCAACTTAAAAGCTGTTTTTAAGTAAGCTTCATAAATGAATAATCAAATACATTTTTTTTAAAGCCGTAAGACTGTTAGGCAAGAATGATAAATTCACTCCCATAGTGCGTGCAGATGATCATGGTGATGACCCTATTGTGTCATACTATGGATCCATCCAAAGTTCACAAGAGTCTAGTTTGATTCCGTCAATTAGATTTTGAAACCTATTTCAAAATCAGCATCTTTTTTTTTTCTTTAGCACTGAGGTAATCATGGTTTAGGTTTATTATTTCGATTCCTAAAAAGCATACAGGAGATACAGAAAGGTTAAAATTTTCTTTTTTTTTTGAGTTGGAGTTTCGCTCTTGTTACCCAGGCTGGAGTGCAATGGCTCACTCACCGCAACTTCCGCCTCCTGGGTTCAGGCACTTTTCCTGCCTCAGCCTCCTGGGTAGCTGGGATTACAGGCACACGCCACCATGCCCAGCTAATTTTTTGTATTTTTAGTAGAGACGGGGTTTCACCATGTTGACCAGGATGGTCTCGATCTCTTGACCTCGTGATCCACCTGCCTCAGCCTCCCAAATTGCTGGGATTACAGGCGTGAGCCACCACGCCCAGCCGTAAGGTTAAAATTTCTTAATGCAACATATTCTACTGTAGTCCTACCTATCACCTATCTTAACGAATCAATTATAATTCTTCCCAAGATAATATTTTAAAAGCAAACAAGAGGTCTTAATTTCAATGCTGTGTAATTAAGAATTTTCAGGCTGGATGTGGTGGCTCACACCTGTAATCCTAGCACTTTAGGAGGCCGAAGTGGGTGAATCACTTGAGGCTAGGAGTTCAAGATCAGCCTGGCCAACATAGTGAAACCCCTGTCTCTATTAAACACACAAAAATTAGCCAGCACGGTGGCACATGCCTATAGTCCCAGCTACTTGGGAGGCTGAAGCAGGAGAAATGCTTGAACCCAGGAGGTGGAGGTTGCAGTGAGCCAAGATTGTGCCACTGCACACCAGCCTGGGCAAAAGAGTGAGACTCCATTTAAAAAAATAATAATAATAAAAAGAATTTTCAGAAGAGAGAACACTATCTATGTTCTATGTTCTGAACATCATTTGTCATCACAGTTATTTGGAAAAAGAAACATCATAAATATCAATTTAATTTGGGGAATAATTTTTAATAGCAAGAGTCATTTTAGTAAATAGCCTATAGGAACAGATAAAGTCTGAAGAAGGCTGTTTTCAATGAAGCTTTCACAGCCATTTTTTGACCCAGTGACCTTCCAAGGAAGTGCTAGTTATGAGTGTCCAGTAAGATGACGTAGGGAGGGCATCTTCTGACAGTCAGAATCCTGTTCTTGGCTTAATAGTTTATTCTAGAGACAGTCTCTGATCCTCTCAATCTCATGAAGTGACTGGATATGGGTCTGTACATGATGAGTAGGCAAGAGACTGACTATGACCTATTTGTGAAGGACATGGAATTACTGGCATCATAGATCATTAGCGGACTGTTGTTTTCTTGTCTAACATTAGTCTGCCCCACAAGGGAAGGGTTAACCATGTCAGTGACTGGTCAGCTATGCATGCAGAAGGTGGGGATGTGCATGTGACTGGGAACTCACAGGCAACCCATAGGGCCCTCTCGGTCCAGGTTCTCCCATAGCTCCTTTTTCGCCCTAAAATGAAAAGTAGAGAGTTCAGATCACACGCACCTACATTCACACACTTTCATGCCCTGCGTATAAAGCCTCTATTTCAAGGACCATTCTATGAAAATCTCAAAGATTTAGGCCATTAGAGAGTCACTTCCAGTGACAGTTGGAAAGTAATGCACAGAAGCATCTTTTACTAAATCACCTTTGAAATAGGGGCAGCAGAAGACTGCCACTGCCCAGCTGTGAGAAAGCATTTGCATATCTTAGATGCCATACTTGGGTTTCTTTGGCATTAGTGTTAAACATTTATTTGTTACTATTTTGTTAGCACATTTAAATGTAAAAACAAATTGCTTTTTCTTTTTTTTAATTATACTTTAAGTTCTGGGGTACATGGGCAGAACATGCAGATTTATTACATAGGTACATACTTGCCATAGGTATTTACTTGCCATTCATCACCCCATCATTTACATTAGGTATTTCTCCTCATGCTATCCCTCCCCTGGCCCCCTACCCCCAGCTATCCCTTTCTAGACCCCCAACCCCTGACAGGCCCCAGTGTGTGATGTTCCCCCGCCCCCATGTCCATGTGTTCTCATTGTTAAACACCCACTTATGAATGAGAACATGTGGTGTTTGGTTTTCTGTTCTTGTGTCAGTTTGCTGAGAATGATGGTTTCCAGCTTTATCCATGTCCCTGCAAAGGACACATGAACTAATCCTTTTTATTATTTATTTTATTGTACTTTAGGTTCTGGGGTGCATTTGCAGAACATGCAGGATTGTTGCATAGGTACATACATGGCAATGTGGTTTACTGCCTCCATCCCCCGTCACCTACATCTGGCATTTGTCCCCATGTTATCCCTCCCAGGCCTCCCCACCACTCCGCTGTCCCTCCCTTGGCCCCCCACAACAGGCCTGTTTGTGATGCTCCCCTCCCTGTGTCCATGTTTTCTCATTGTTCAACACCTGCCTATGAGTAAGAACATGCAGTGTTTGATTTTCTGTTCTAGTGTCAGTTTGCTGAGAATGATGTTTCCAGATTCATCCATGTCCCTACAAAGGGCATGAACTCATCGTTTTTTATGGCTGCATAGTATTCCATGGTGTATATGTGCCACATTTTCCTTGTCCTGTCGATTGATGATGGGCATTTGGGCTGGTTCCAGGTCTTTGCTATTATATACAGGGCTACAATGAACATAAATGTGCATGTGTCTTTACAGTAGAATGATCTATAATCCTTTGGGTATATACCCAGTAATGGGATTGCTGGGTCAAATGGAATTTCTATTTCTAGGTCCTTGAGGAATCACCACACTGTCTTCCACAATGGTTGAACTTCCACAGTGGTGGGAGTTTACACTCCCACCAACAGTGTAAAAGTGTTCCTATTTATCCACGTCCTCTCCAGCATCTGTTGTCTCCAGAATTTTTAATCACCATTCTAACTGGCATGAGGTGGTATCTCAATGTGGTTTTGATTTGCATTTCTCTAATAATCAGTGATGATGAGCATTTTTTCATATGTTTGTTGGCTTCATACATGCCTTCTTTTGAAAGGTGTCTGTTCATATCCTTAGCCCACTTTTAGATGGGTTTGTTTTTTTTTTCTTGTAAATCTGTTTTAGTTCTTTGTAGATTCTGGATATTAGCCCGTTGTCAGATGGGTAGATTGCAAACATTTTTTCCCATTATGTTGGTTGCCGGTTCACTCTAATGATTGTTTCTTTTGCTGTACAGAAACTCTGGAGTTCAATTAGGTCCCATTTGTCGATTTTGGCTTATATTGCATATGCTCTTGCTGTTTTAGTCGTGAAGTCCTTGCCTATGCCTATGTCCTGAATGGTTTTGCCTAGGGTTTCTTCTAGGATTTTTATGGTGTTAGGTCTTATGTTTAAATATTTAATCCATCTGGAGTTAATTTTAGTGTAAGGTGTCAGGAAGGGGTCGTCTGCTTTCTGCACATGGCTAGCCAGTTTTCCCAGCACCATTTATTAAACAGGGAATCCTTTCCCCATTGCTTGTTTTTGTCAGGTTTGTCAAAGAGCAGATGGTTGTAGATATGTGGCATTGCCTCCAGAGCCTCTGTTCTGTTCCATTGGTCTATATCTCTGTTTTGGTACCAGTACCATGCTGTTTTGATTACTGTAGCTTTGTAGTATAGTTTGAAATCAAGTTGTGTTATGCCTCTGGCTTTGTTCTTTTTGCTTAGGATTGTATTGGCTATATGGGCTCTCTTTTTGTTCCATATGAAGTTTAAGGTGGTTTTTTCCAGTCCTGTGGAGAAGGTCATTGGTAGCTTGATGGTGATAGCATTGAATCTGTAAATTACTTTGGGCAGTATGGCCATTTTCACAATATTGATTCTTCTTAACCATGAGTATGGACGTTCCTCTATCTGTTTGTGTCCTCTTTTATTTCCTTGGGCAGTGGTTTATAGTTCTCCTTGAAGAGATCCTTTACATCTTTTGTTAGTTGTATTCTTAGGTATTTTATTCTCTTTGTAGCAATTGTGAATGGGAGTTTGCTCATGATTTGGTGCTCTGTTAGTCTCTTTTTGGTGTACAGAAATGCTTGTGATTTCTTTTTTTTTAATTATCTTTTTTATTGCATTTTAGGTTTTGGGGTACATTTCAAGAACATGCAAGATAGTTGCATAGGTACACACATGGCAGTGTGATTTGCTGCCTTCCTCCCCTTCACCTATATCTAGCATTTCTCCCCATGCTATCTCTCCCCAACTCCCCACCC